CGGGGGGGCTCCCCCGGTCTCTCTCTGTCTCTCCTCCTCCCTCCTCCTGCTCCGGGCGGAGCCCGGCATGGGGGGGCCGGCGCCCGGCAGGCCAGGTACGGTGATGTAGAAACTGGGGAGGCTTCTTGCGGGGAGGTGGTGATGGGGGGACTAGGAGCGGGGAGGACTGGCGGGGCGAGAGGCGGAGACACCAGGGTAGCAGGACAAGGGGAAGAGGAGGGGGCGCCCGGGGAAACCTGGGGCCCTTGGATGGAAGGGGGGTGGATGAAGCAGGCCAGGTTTGGAACAAACTGGGGAAGGAGGAGGACGGCTGTGAGGAGGGGCTCCAGGGAGGAGACGTGAGTCTGAAGGCAAAAGAGAGTGTTTGGGGGAAGGGACGCAAAAGCGCAGGTATGGAGGCCGCAGCCCAGAGGGTTGCTATGGGGCTAGGTTGGAGGCCCCCGTCCCCTCCAGGGTGGGATTCAGGGGCGGGACTACTAGGGGGAAGCCAGGGTTCTCCCAAATCCTGGAGCAGAAAGAAGGTAGGTTTGATTTGGGCCATCAGCGAGAGGAGGGAGGCTGAAACCATTGCTGAAGGACCAGGGAGCTTGATTGAATAGAGGTGGACGGAGGTCCGGGCCCAGGATTGGAAAAGCAGGGACTCCAGGGAGTGAAGGTAGATGGGTGGGTGGGATTTTAGTTGTCCAACTCAGAATCACCATCCTTCCCTCAGCAAACCCACCCTGTCCTGATGATCCCCCACTAAGCCTCAGGGCCCAAGAGAGGGTAGCAAGCCCAAATGCCCCCCCTTTCCCTAGTTGGGTGCAATGTACGCAAGTAGGCCCTGAGCACAACTCCTTGTCTGTAGGTGTGGCCAGTTCCATAGCAGATTTGTATGCTAGAGGTCTGTGTGTATCGGTGGGTGTGTCGGTGGGTGTTTATGTCTGTGTTTGCTGTTCCCGGGTTTGTGTTTACCTATGCCCCTCTATGTCTGCCCCTGTTTGTAGGTATATATATATGTGTGTGTCGGGTAGTGGTTCTAAATGTGCTGTATGCCTACAGAGTTGCTGTATGTTTGTGAGGTCTGTCTCTGGTGGTTCAGAATGTATTTACACAGGATGGAAATCTGTGTCAACCTGATCTCTCCAGAGTGGCTCCAAACACCTTTGTCAGGGTGTGTGACTCTGCACACTCTCACTTATGTGTCTGTCTGGGAGGGGTCCCATAGACTGTATTGGATATTCTTCGTCTGTGTTTTCCTCTTTTGAAGACCCAAATCATGTTTCTGCTCTTTTTTCCCCTCCCAACCTTATCTTCCCCTTTCTCCTTCTCAACCATTCCCCTTATCAAGTGGATCCGGGACCCAGGGAGGGCCACCCCCCGGGCCTGGTGGCATTAAGCAGGGCCTCTCAGCCCCCACCTCTTGCCCCACGACATGAACCTTCTCTACCGAAAAACCAAGCTGGAGTGGAGACAGCACAAAGAAGAGGAGGCCAAAAGGAGGTAAGGCTGGGCCCTAGAGTGTCCCATGGCCTGTTGCACCATCCCCTTGGCCTTCCCATTTTGTTCAGCCACAGCCCCTCCTGGGGCCCATCAGCCTTCTCACCAATGTGAGTTCTCCCCACCTCCATTGATTTTCTGCCTAGCACAGAATGGCTTCAAGTGCACAGGTTTGATCCCAGCCTGAGAGAGGGGTATAGCCGGGGGTATGCCTCCCAGCTTTGGAGAGCCCTATTGGGTTTTCCCTGTCTATGGGCCCCAAGTCTCTTTTCCGTTATTTTAAGACTCTGGCTGCTTGCTTTCCCCTGTCACCTGACCTTGGAAAGGGCAGGCCCCACTGTCCTCACAGGGTCTAGGGAAAGGGTCATTTTAGGGACCTCAAGCATTCATGTCTCCCACCCAGCTTCCTGTGTTGGGGGAAGTAACTGACTAAAGAGGGGTGTGTGTGTGGCGTTAGGGGATTTATAGGCTAAGTCCTACAGAAGAGCCAGGTGGAGGCCCCCATGCCTCTCACTTTCACATCCCTACCAACTCTTTCTCCTGCCCTCCCAGGGACCAAGGCTAGCCTCTCTCAGCTGCCTCCTCCTCCTTTCCCCTTGACTACACAGCCTCTTGGAGCTTGAGTCAGAACCACCTCCCGGCTCCCTTCTCCCTCCTCAAAACTGTGGAGTTTAATTCTTGTTGTTAATTAGATTAATCAGAGCGATCACTACAGCGATCTCTCCCTAATGAAGGGTTAGTAGACAGGGCCTTAATGAGAGCCCACCCCACCGCAGCTTCCCCTCTGCTCTGCCAGCCACTCTCCTTCACTCACCCAGGACAGAAAGGGAATGGGAGTGAGCTGAGGAGGTTGACAGAGAGAGGGCAGCAGAGGGGGAGAGAGGAGAGGGAGAGAGAGGGAGGGAGAGAGAGAGAAACCCAGAGAGGCTGCTCTAATGATTCAGGCATCACACCCTGCCTCTGGAAGAGGTGGCCTGTGATGCGGCAGAGACCACAGTAGCTGGGCATGAAGGGAGGCCAGAAGCCAGGTGTGGGGCTAGCATGTGAGAGGGGCACAGTAGCAGGTGTACCTGCTTGTTTGTCAGGTGGCTGCCTGGATTGTGTCTTTCTCCACAGAAGTCAGGTGTTGGGCAGCATCAGGAACACTGACTTACACCGTTTCTTTCATTTCTCATGCCATAGGCTGCCCCACCCCACCCCACCCCCCAGTGCCTGGCGTTTCTTTTTTTTTTTTTCTTTTTTTTTTTTTTTTTTTTTTTTTGGTTTTTCGAGACTGGGTTTCTCTGTGTAGCTTTGGAGCCTATCCTGGCACTCGCTCTGTAGACCAGGCTGGCCTCGAACTTAAAGAGATCCGCCTGCCTCTGCCTTCCGAGTGCTGGGATTAAAGGCGTGTGCCACCAACGCCCAGCCTGTGCCTGGCGTTTCTTAAATCCAAAGAATCTGCCCAAAAACATTCCTACCTTAGACCTTCAGATGTCCCTACCACAGGCTCCTGTCCTTACTAAGGAAACAGTTGTTCCACCCTTGAAAAGGCCATCTCCTCCTGAGATGGAGGAAGGCAAGTTGGAGGCCTGATGTCTAACTTCTGTTCCATCCTGTTTTTTCTCCCTAGCTCCAGTAAGGAAACAGCCCCCACAGGCCCAGTGGGGCCTGGGGCTGTCCCAGGGCCTGGGGTGCGAGTACGGGACATTGCCTCACTTCGAAGGTCCCTCAGGATGGGCTTCATGACGATGCCAGCATCCCAGGAACACACCCCTCACCCCTGCCGCAGCGCCATGGCCCCACGCTCCCTCTCCTGCCATTCAGTGGGCAGCATGGATAGTGTAGGGGCTGGGCCTGGAGGAGGTGGGGGAGGTCTCACAGAGGACAGTAGCATCCGAAGACCCCCGGCTAAGCCCCGGAGACACCCCAGTACCAAGCTCAGCATGGCAGGATCAGGGGCAGAGACACCGCCAAGTAAGAAAGCAGGTGAGGCAACCACCCTGTTTCCCCATCCCTTTTCAGAGGAAGCTGGCAGCCAGCAGAATCCATTCCTGACTTGGGGGGGGGATGCTTCTGGGAGGGTTCATTCAGCCAAGAGCCAAGGAAGTGGAAGGTTCCATTCTCAAAAGGAATAGGGGGTTCCTTTTAGATGGACCTCAGATGAACCATTCAAGGGCAGGAGACACTCCCTCAAAAATAGCTCTTAGGAAAGGACACAAAGGTGGGTAGGAATTGCAGATCCTGAGGTTGCCAGTGGGGCTGAGGTAGGTTCCTTGAGGCTAGCCTAGGGTACATGATGAGACCCAGTCTCAGAAAAAAAAGAAAAACCAAACAAACAAACAAAAAACTGAAGAAAAAAACAAACAGGAAACCAACAAAACCCTAGACAGATGGCACTGGCCTTCCAATACTCGAGGCAGAGGCAGGCTGTGAGTTCAAGGCCAGCCTGAACCATGTATCCAGGCTAGCCAAGGCTAAGTAGTGAGACCCTGTCTCAAACAAACAAAACAAAAAACTAGAATGAAAAAGAAGAGATAAAGACTGGACTGCCTTGTAGAAAAGGAACGTAGTGGGCTCTGAGCAGACAAAGATGTCCTTGAAGGTGGATCAGGAGGTCAAAAAGGAATTCTCCACCTTCATTATAGAGTGAGTTCAAGGCCAATCTGGGCAACTTAGAGGTCCTATTTTAAAAGAGCAAACAGACAAACAAACAAAAAAACCTGGGGACTTGCCTCAGTGGTAGAGCACCTGCCTAGAACTCCCCAGTGAAGGCCTGGGGTGTGGCTCTGTGGTAGAGCACCTGCCTAGAATCCACCAGTGAGGGGCTAGAATGTGTCTCAGTGGTAGAGCCCTTAACCTGGCATGTTAGATGGTCTGAATTCAATAAGCTCCATTTCTTTTTCTCCTCACCCTACTTAGGCTCTCAGAAGCCAACCCCTGAGTGTCGAGAATCTAGCCGGAAGGTTCCACCACAAAAACCCAGGCGAAGCCCCAACACCCAGCTGTCTGTGTCCTTCGATGAGTCTTGTGCCGCAGCCCCGTGTCCTCGAGGGGGGAACCTGCCCCTGCAACGCCTCAGCAGGGCATCTCGAATATCCGGAGACCTGGATGCAGGTACCCAAGAAGAAGAGCCAGTGTACATTGAGATGGTGGGGGATGTCTTTCGTGGAGGAGGACGGAGTGGAGGAGGCCTCACTGGGCCTCCTCTTGGAAGTGGAGGCCCAACCCCTCCAGCAGGAGCCGATTCAGACTCTGAAGACAGCGAAGCTATATATGAAGAGATGAAGTACCCACTGCCTGAAGAGGCAGGAGATGGCAGAGCCAATGGGCCTCCTCCATTGATGGCACCCTCCCCTCCTCAACAGCCTCATGGATGGGACACCCACCAAGACCACTCCTTGTGAAATACCCCCACCTTTTCCAAACCTTCTTCAACACCGCCCTCCACTCCTGGCCTTTCCCCAAGCCAAGTCTGCTTCACGAGCCCCTGGCGATGGGGTCTCAAGGCTACCAGTCCTCTGCCACTCCAAGGAGCCAACTGGTTCCACCCCAGCTCCCCAAGTGCCTGCACGAGAGCAGGAGACGCCTCCCCTGCCGCCTCCACCTCCTGCTGCCAACCTGCTATTGCTGGGACCATCAGGCAGAGCCAGGAGCCACTCGACACCATTGCCACCCCAGGGCTCAGGCCAGACCCGCGGGGAGCGGGAGCTCCCCAACTCTCACAGCATGATCTGCCCCAAAGCGGTAGGGGTACCGGCAGCCCACCCTACCCCAGCTGCCTTGCTCCCCGGCCCCCCCAAGGACAAGGCTGTGTCGTACACTATGGTGTATTCTGCGGTGAAAGTGACCACACACTCGGTCCTGCCAACTGGTCCACCCCTAGGTGTTGGGGAGCCAAAGACCGAGGAGATTTCAGTTCTCCACGGGATGCTGTGTGCCAGCTCGAGGCCCCCTGTACCCGGGAAATCCAGCCCCCATAGTGGGGCGATGGGCTCAGCAGCTGGGGCCCTCCACCACCGTAGCTGCCTGACCTCCCCCCACAGCCTTCCGGATCCAACTGCAGGTCCCCTGACCCCCCTCTGGACCTACCCAGCCACAGCAGCTGGGCTCAAGAGACCCCCTGCCTATGACAGTCTCAAGGCTGGGGGGGTGCTGAATAAGGGCTGTGGAATAGGAGGACCGCCCCCCATGGTCAAGATCCAGCTGCAAGAGCCCGGGACTGATGGGGGTGCCTTTGCCAGCATCTCCTGTGCCCATGTTATTACCAGTTCAGGGACACCGGAAGAAGAGGAGATGGGTGCCGCATTTGGGGCAGGCTGGGCTCTGCAGAGGAAGGTCCTGTATGGTGGGAAGAGAGCAAAGGAACTGGACAGTGAGTGAGAAGTGGGGACTGGGTGTGGGTATGTGGCGGGTGGCTTAGGGTCGGGGGTAAATACGAAGCAAGGTATTTAGAAACCACAGGTCCATTGTCTTGACTTGGCAAGTTTTCTGGGAGACCAGATAGATGGGGGTGAGGAGCAGAATGAATGGCTGGAGGAGGGGAGCTGTCTCCAAATGTGTTCAGGAAGAGGTGGGAAGGTCTGGGTTAGGGGCGGGGTACAATCCACCATCCTACTCCACCCTCTGCCCCTCCCTTTCTTGGGCTGCAAGGGTGTGTGTTTGTGAGTGTGTGCACACTAGGAACTAAACACAGCTGCCTCCCAGCTATTACCATGGCAACCCATCCAGACAGGAGTGAGAGGAGAGGGAGGCCCCTACCGTTGCCAGGCAACGCAATGCTCTGCCAGGCCTGTTCTCAGAGATGGGCTTAGTTCTCATACAGCCCTTCCCCCCACTCTGTACACTCAACATAACCCCCACCCCCTTTCTGAGATCAGGATTTGGGATTCTCCCCACTGAGAGACAGCACCCCTGTTTTCCAGGGTGTTCATTCAAACCCTATTGGACCTGGAGAGGTTTAAAAGCCAAAGATAGGGTAGAGAAAGCCCTGCTGGCCAGGGGGAAGGGTTTTCTGAACATATGTATGATTCTGAGCCCCGGTGATGGTAACAATGGGTAGAAAGGAAGGTGTCAAGGCTGGCTCTGGGGTGTGTGTTGGGGAAGTGAGGTACACCTTTCCCATTCCTGTTGTGATTTGCAGAAGGGCTACCCATGCTGCATTGTATGTGCCTGCTGGGGATAGAGAGGCCCCTCCCGCCTACAGACACTAAGCTTTTTTTGTTATCCCAGCAGAAGTCGAGGACAGTGCCCGGGACTGGAATGGCAGTACGGAGGGTCCAGGCAAAGTAGAGCCAGAGGACAGGGGTGCTGTGGCATCAGGGATCCCTGTGAGGAGCCAGGGGGCAGAGGGTCTGCTGGCCAGGATCCACCACGATCGAGGAGGGAGCCGCACAGCGTTGCCAGTCCCTTGCCAGACTTTCCCGGCCTGCCACCGGAATGGAGGTGACACCTTGCCCTCATACTGTATATGGAGATGGGTGGGTCAGGAATCTGCCAGGGTCCACCTTGGGCCACCCTGCCCGACTTACTATCAACTCCATGTCTAAGGCCATTAACCTTTGAAAAATATTTCTTGTACTTTGAATGGAACCCAGGAGTTCCCCATACAAGGCATGGTCTCTACCATGGAGCCACGCCCTCAGCCCCTCACTGGGGGATTCTAGGCAGGTGCTCTACCACCAAGCCACATCCCCACCTAGAATCCTGAATCTTAACACTATATCTCCATCTTTTTTCTTTTGATGAGGCAGGGGACAGTTTGGCCTACAGCCTCTTTAGGGAGGTGAGGAACTAGGCATCTGTAGGTCTCTCTTCTCATCTCTGGTTTTTGGGCCTAGATTTCACAGGAGGGTACCGCCTGGGCCGCTCTGCCTCCACCTCTGGAGTCCGTCAGGCTGCGCTCCATACCCCTCGGCCCTGCAGCCAGCCCAGGGTTGCCCTGAGCCAGGTGAGATCTGGTCTTTGTTTTATTTTTGAAGGAGCAGCTAGAAAAGAAGGCTTGGGTATGGAAAGAAAGATAGACCCACTCACCCCTGTAATCCAATGCTCTGGAGAAGCTGAGACAAAAAACAAAACAAAACAAAACAATTCATGTGGAGTTGGAGGCCAGCTTGGGCTACATTAAAAAAGAATCATGTCTCAAAATACCAAATTAAAAAATAAATTAACAAATAGGGTAAGAAAGGGGTCAGGGCACTATAGAGCATATACCTGTAATCCCAGTTTGGAAGATGGGAACAGGAGGGTTAGGAGTTCAAGGTCATCCTCTCTGAACTACATACGGAGTCCCAGGCCAATCTGTCTCACAAAAAAGGAAGGAAGGAAGGAAGGAAGGAAGGAAGGAAGGAAGGAAGGAATAAGAAAAAAGGAAGGAAGAAAGGAGCTAGAGAGAAGGCTGGGCAGTTAAGAACATGTGTTTTCTCCCTGCAAAAGACCAGAGTTCAATTCCCAGCACCCACACTGGGCAATTCATAACTGCCTATAACTCCAGCTCCAGGGAATCCTAAGTCTTCCAGCCTCCAAGTCCAGTTTATAGCATATACTCCGGCACATACAGGAATGAAAAATCTTAAAAAGGAAGTGGGCTATGAGATGGCTCAGTGGGTAAAAGCACTTGCCACCAAGCCTGACAGCTGAGTTCGATCCTCTGAAGCCACAAAGCCACATGGTAGGAGGAGAGAACTGACACCCAAGAGTTGTCTTCTGATCTCCGTGAGCTGTGGCATGTGCTGTGCTCCCACACATGAAATAAATGAAATGCTTTTTAAATTTTTCAGTAAAGAAATAGGAAAAGAAGATGAGGGAAGGTATGGGAAAAAGTCAGGCTGGGGACTAAGCAGTGTTGTCTGCACAGGCTGACTAGCGGGAACTAAAGACAAGGAGGGTTAATAGATAGTTTCCAGGATGGGGCTACTTAACATGGTCACAGAAACAGGGTCCTGGGTGGTGGCAAGTCTAGGTAGTGTCTAGTCTATGGGGTAATTTTATCAATTTAGAAGAAAAGTCCCCCTTGGAGGAAAAACTTGAAAAATACATGTCTGGTCTGGAAAAACTAGCATTTTTATTTGTTTGTTTTTCAAGACTATTAAGGATCTCATGGTCTTCTAGAAAATACCTTCTTTCTTTCTTTCTTTTTTTTTTTTTTTGGTTGAGTTTGTTTTGTTGGTTTTTTGAGACAGAGTTCTCATTGTGTAGCCCTGGTGGACCTGGAACTCATATAGATCAGGCTGGCCTCAAACTCATAAACCCATCCTCCTCTGCCTCCCAAGTACTGGGATTAAAGGCGTGGTCCACCAAGCCCAGCACCTTTTGATTGTTTGTGATGATTTCATTCATGAATTCCAGACTGACCTCCTACTTAGGAAGATGCTGAGGATGACTTTGAACTTCTGACTCCCAGAATGCTGGGATTACAAGAATAGGCCCGAGGCCTGATTTAGGAGGTTCTGAGTATTGGAACCCAGGGCTTTGTGCATGCTAAGCAAGCACTCTCAGCTGAGCTACTTTCCTAGCATCATAAGACTTTTTAATTCTTTGATAATTTCACATATGTATGTTATGCATTTTGATTATTTCCCTCAAGCCCACCCAACAATCTCTCTCCCGCTTGTGCCATCCCCCCCCCATCTCTTCTTTGCAAGCCTCCTGCCCACTTTCATGTCTTTCTATTTTGTTGGGAAATGAGATCTTTCTTTTTCTTTTTCTTTTTTTGTTTTTGTGTTTTTGGGATTTGGTTTTGGGGTTTTGGTTTTGGTTTTTCAAGCCAGGGTTTCTCTGTGTGTAGCCCTGGCTGTCCTAAAACTCATTCTGTAGATAAGGCTGGCCTGGAATTCAGAGATCTGCCTGCCTCTGCTCCCAAGTGCCGGGAAATGGTTTTTTAAGAGGCTCCTTTCTCAGGGCCAGGCAAGCCTAGTCTAACACCAGAGAGCATAAGTGGAGAAAGGGTGCCCATCACACTCAGCCTGGGAGAGAGGATGCGATGCAGGGCCTGGGGGAGGAGGGTTTGTTTCTACTGGAGGTCGTTGGTTTGGGCACAAGGTCCTTGACACTCCCTATCCCACATATTTTTCTTTCTCTGGGGTTCCTGGCACAGACCCACCCTGTGCTGCCTCTGCCCCTGCCGCCCCAGCCCGCCCGGGAGCGAGACGGCAAACTCCTAGAGGTGATTGAGCGCAAACGCTGCGTGTGTAAGGAAATCAAGGCACGTCACCGCCCCGACCGGGGGCTCTGCAAGCAAGAGAGCATGCCCATTCTCCCCAGCTGGCGGCGGGGCCCTGAGCCCCGAAAGTCGGGCACCCCGCCCTGCCGCCGGCAGCACACGGTCCTCTGGGACACTGCCATCTGAGGATGCAGGGAAGGGAGGGGCCTGCCCAGGTCTACTTGAGAAGAGGGTTCCTACTAGGCCCATCTGGGGACTTAAGGTGCCAGTAGCATCCCAAGGAAGTGGGGGAGGAGGAGGGGTTTGCTTGACATTGGAAGGGGGGTCTGAGCGTGTAGACTCCTCTTACTGAAGGGAAGGCCACGGTGGAGATCACCATGGGGAAAGGCGGGGTTTGGAGGAAGTTGAGGGTGGGGCATACAGGAGATTGACTGGAGCAACAGGGAAACTAGCTCTTTCATCGAGAGCCGGGAGAGTGGGAAAGGGTATTTATTTTGTATTTATTTTAGTCTGGAGGGCAATTCTGAGCCCTTCTGACCTACTTCTGAGCAGGAGGTGGAGAACCGTGACTAAATTTGCACTCTCCCCAAGGCCAGTGCCTAACGACCTCCGCCATCCTTGCCCCGCTAAAGGGGGGGATGGGTCTGCTTGGGGAGCAGGCAGAGGCACAGGCTCAGACAGTGGCAGTATTTATAGTTTTCCCAGAATTTGGTAGTGAGTGTGGTCTGCTGTAAAACAGGCGTTTTATTTAGTTCTGGGGTAAGGGTCTAGCCAGGGACGGGTGGGATGATGGGCAGAGGGAAAACTTAAGTGGGTGGAGGGGGCGGGGTATTTATTTAAATTAAAAAAAAAAAAAGCTGTCAGGAACTTTTTTTAAATTCCTTTCTTTTCAGAATAATATATTAAAAGACTCATGATCCTAGAGCTGGCTTCTTATATTTCCCCGTGTGCTCTGTCTTACACGTGTTCCCTTTTCCCACATTGCCCTGGGTGGGTGGGAGTCCAAGGTGCCACCTGGAGGCTCCATGATCAGTCACAAGGAAAGGCAGAGTTTCAGGTAAGTGGGAATTCCATCATGCTGTCCGTCGCTGTGTGTGCGCGCGTGCACGCGCGCGTCCGTGTGCATGTGCGCCCTGGTGAATGCACACGTGTGTTTGTGAATGTGTGCACATGAGGGTGGATGGAGGCCTGAGACTGATCTCAGGTGCCCTCTGGAATTCTCAGTGAACCTGGAGCTCACTGATTCTGGTAACACTAGCTGGCCAGGAAGCTCCAGGCATCTGCTGTTCATACCTGGGATCACAGGTGTGAACGCCTGCCTTTCACTTGGGAGCTTGGGGTTCAAACCCAGCTCCTTATGTTTGTTAGACACTGCGTTCTAACTGAGCCTCCGCCGTGTTCCTGGCAGCGCACTGATGCGGTAGGAGTGCTTTCTGCTGACCTTGTAGTCTACTCCAGGAGCCGAAACTCCCAGACTCCAGCAGACACTGCTGCAGGGCTAACAGGGAAGAGGGCGGTTGGTCCTCTAAGAACACTGATAGGGCAGGTGAGAAGGCTGGGGGTATAAGTCCTCAGAAACCATTTGCTTAGAATCTCCCAGGGAAAAGGCTGAGTCGGGCGGGGGTCAGCAGTAGAGTTCTTGCCCAGAATCTCCCAGTGAGGGGCTGGGGATGTGGCTTCATACTTGTGTAAGAGCCAGGCAGTGGTGGCTTTAACACCAGCATTTGGGAGGCAGAGGCAGGCACATCTCTGTGAGTTGGAGGCCAGCCTGGTCTACAGAGTGAGTTCCAGGACATCCAGCACTGTTGCACAGAGAAATCCTATCTTGAAAAAAAAAAAATCTGTTGCAAGCCTAAGGTTCAATCACGTATACTACCACTAACAAATAAATAATGGTGACACACTATATGGATCATTAAAAAATGATGATAGTTCTATGAAGTTTTTAGACTGGAGGAAACTTCAATTAGAAATAAATTAATGGCCTGATGGTGGTGGCTCATGCCTTTAATCCCAACACCTGAAAGCTACTTGAAAATAAAGAAATAATGCTAGTTTGAGAGGGGGGTAAGATAGTGGGCAGTGAGGGTGCAGTGGGGATGCAGTCCTGTAATCCCAGCCTTTGGGAGGTGGAGGGAGGGAGATCCAAAGTTCAAGGCTTGCCTGCCTGAACTATAGAACAAGACCCCATCTAAAAAACAAAAAGCAACAAACACCAAGCGGTAGATATTTTTATGCCTAGTTAGAAAAATGTCCAGAAGCCAGTATAGTGGTGGATGCCTTTGATGCCAGAATTTAGATAAAGGCAGGAGGATCAGGTGTTCAAGATCAAAGCCAACCTAGGCTCTAAGAGACCCTGCAGAGAAGAAATGGGAGAGCTTGGAGAGATGACTCAGTGATTAAGAGCACCTGGGTTTGGTTTCCAGCACCAACATGCTGGTTCATAGCAGTCTATAACTCCAGTTCCAAGAGATCTGATGCCTTCTTTTGGAATCCAAGGGCACCAGGCATGTACACAGTGCACATGTATTCAGTGAAAACACTCATATGCATTACATATGATATAATATGTTTGTGTTATAATATAAAGTATTTTTATTATAAATTTATTTATTTAAAAAAGAAAGGGGCCTGGTAAGGTGGCTCAACAGTGAGGGCCTTGCTGCCAAGCCAGCTGGCCTGACTTTGATCTCCAGGACTTACATTTTAGAAGGGGAGAACCAACTCCCCCAGGCTGCTATATGATCTCCACATGCACACTCACACAGATACGAATAAATAAACTGAGGCCAGCCTGGTCTACACAGCGAGTTCCAGATCAGACAAGGTTCCAATAGTGAGATCCTATCGCAAAAAATAAAATGGAAAAAATCATAATATGGCCTGGGAGTGTAGCTCAGATGGCAGAATGCTTGCCTCGTACGTTCAGAGCCCGGAGTGAGCCCATGCTGAGTCTGAGGCCTGTACATCTGTATAATAACATACTTTAATAAGTAATATATAAATATATATTTAATAAGAAATAGATCAATTAATAAAATCAACTTTCTACACAGTCATTTAAAAAGGAAATCTGGAGAGTAAATTCCTGTCCATAACACACACACACACACACACACACACACACACACACACACACACACACACACACCCACCCCCCACCCCCCACCAGCTAGAGAGCTGACTCAGCAGATAAGAGCACAGGTCTCTCTTGTATAGGATGCAGGTTTGGTGCTTAGCAGCTTCATGGTTCATAAACATCTGTAACTCCAGTTTCAGGACATGTGACATTTATTCTCTTCTGACCTCATGTTACGCAGGACACAGCAGGCAAACACTCATAATACATTAAACAAATCTAAAATCAAAATTCAATGAACTAAAAAACAAGTACCTGGTACAATGGTTCAGAGGGAGAAAAAATAAAAAAAAAAAAAAGATTGTCCCTAAGCCCAATGAACTAAGTTCAATCCCCAGAACCCACATAAAGGTAGATAGAGAAAATGAACTCTACAAAGTTGTCCTCTGACCTTGACAGGAGCACTGGAGCACTGTGGCCAGGATGCACACACACACACACACACACACACACACACACACACACACACACACCAAATATCTTAAAAGGGTCAGGGTGGTGGTGTCACATGCCTTTAATCCCAGCACCTGGGAGGCAGAGGCAGTCAGAGTGCAGTGGTGAGGCAGGTGGATCTCTGTGAGTTTGAGATCAGCCTGGTCTACAGAGCAAGTTCAAGACAGGCTCCAAAGCCACAGAGAAACCCTGTCTTGAAAAAAAAAAAAAAAGAAAAGAAAAGAAAAACCAATTTAAAAAAAAAGATAAAAGGGTAAGATTTGTTTGAAAAAGCAAGGAGTAAGGACTTCCGTACATTTAAATCGCTTAGTAACAAAAGACGACAGTTTTCAAGTGAATTTACCATAGCCCTAAGGGACTCATTTGGAAACTTGATAAAATTTGAAAGTTCATCCAGAACGATAATGGGGGAAACCAGAACATTCTGAAACAGAGTAATAGGATGACCTGCCTTCCTGAACACTAAAACATAAAATCAGAGCATTTTAGCCCTAGAACAGAGCTCAAATATCAAATAACTCACCGGAATAAGGAGCCCCGAGAGACCCTAGCATCTGGCACCTCCCAAAAAGGAGATTTATTAGAAAGTGGTTCCGGAGTGGTTGGTTCTTACAGGATGCTTTGTGATCCCAGCACTCAGGAGGCAGAGGCAGGAGGTCTCTGAGATTGAGGTCAGCTTGGCTTACAGAGCAAGTTCCAGGACAGCCAGGGCTACACAAAGAAACCCTGTCTCAGAAAAAAAAAAATTAAAGAAACCTTTTTTTAAAGGGCTTATGAGATGGTTCAGAGGATAAAGGTGCTTGCTACCAAGCTGAGAACCTATATGTGATCCCTTGGGACTGAGTGGTAGAAGGGAGAATGGACTCCCACAAGTTGTCCTCTGGTAGACACAAACATGCTGTAGCATACATGTACCCCTTTCACACCCACCCTCACACAGAATAAATAAAATGTAATGATTTTTTTTAAATTAAGGATATGGAAATAGTGGGGCTGGAGAGATGGCTCAGAGGTTAAGAGCACTGGCTGCTCTTCCAGAGGTCCTGAGTTCAATTCCCAGCAACCACATGGTGGCTCACAACCATCCATTATGAGATCTGGTGCCCTCTTCCAGTGTGCAAGCATGCATGCAGATAACTGTATACATAATAAATAAATAAGATCTTTTAAAAAATGGATATGGAGATAGCTCAATGCTGTAAAGTGCTTGCTGAGAGTAAATAAATAAAAGTTGTGTGTGGGGGTTCATACTTCTAATCCCAGCCCAGAGGAGGTGAAGATGGGGATTCCTAGAGCTCACTGCTGGCCAGCCAGCCTAGCTGAGTTCATGGGTTCCAAACCATTGAAGAGACTATCTCAAAAATCAAGCTGAGTGGCTTCTGAGGGGGTGTCCCCAAAGTTGACCTCTGGCCCCCATGTGCATTTGCACTCACACCCACACACATTGGGTGCAAACACACACAGACACTAGAAACTGATTTTAAAGTTCTATGTGGAGGCTCACATATGTGATCGCAGCTCCCGGGAGACTGAAAAAGGCCTCGAGTTTGAAGACAGCTTGGTGTACATAATGAGTTCTAGGATAGCTTGGGCTACACAGTGAGAACCTCTCTCAAGAAATTAAAAATACATAGAAGAGAGAAAGATGACCAATACAACAACAACAATGAGTAGAACCAAATCTAAAATTGACAAGTGTGTGTCAGGGTGAGTATACAGAGGTCGGAGAACTGAAGGTGCCTATCCTTGCCTTTTCCCTTGCTTGGTTCATTTATTTTTATTTTATATACCTGCATGTATGTTTGTATGAGGTAATTGAATCCCCTAGAGCTGGAATTACAGACAGTTGTGAACTGCCATATGGGTCCTGGGAATTGAATTTGGGTCCTCTGGAAGAGTAGCCAGTCCTCTTAACCTCTGAGCCATCTCTCCAGCCTCAACAACTGTTTTTCCTCGCTCGAGGTGGGGTTTCTTTGTCATCTCACAACCTCAAACTTGCTATGTAGCCATCATGACCTTGATCTCCTGACTCTCCTGCTTTTATCTTCTGATTTACAGGGGTGCTAGGGATCAAACCCCAGACTTTGTACATGTTAGGCAAGCACTCTGACAACTGAACCACAATCCCATGCCATCTGTGTTTCTTTTATTTTTATAATTTTAATTATGCATATGCATGCATGCCTTGTGTGTGGATGTACAGGTGCCCTCAGAGGCATTGGGTCTCCTGGAGCTGGAGTTACAGGTGGTTGTGAGCTGCCAGATATGGGTGCTGGGAACCAAACTTGGGTCCTCTGCAAGAACAGTATGTGCTCTTAACCACTGAGCCATCTCTCAAGCCCCCAAAACGCCTATAAAAGTTAACTTAGAACCAGGTGGTGATGGTGCACACCTTTAATCTAGCACTCGGAAAGCAGAGAGAGGCAGATCTCAGAGTTTGAGGTCAACCTGGTCTACAGAGCAAGTTCCAGGACAGCCAGGGCTACACCGAGAAACCCTGTCAGGCAAAAAAACCAAATAAATAAATAAAAGTTCACTTAGGACCAAGGAGATGGCTCAGCAGGTAGAGGCACTTGCTGCCAAGCCTGATGACCTGAGTTTGATTCCTGGAACTCACAGGAGGGAAGAAGAGAATCAACTCCTACAAGTTGTCCTCTGCTCTTAACACCCCAGCTGTGACATGTGGGTGCCCACGCATAGTCATACACAAAATAAATAAATGTAATAAGATTTATGTGTGGTGGCTCACTTCTGTAAACTTAGTACAGACTTTTGATGCTAAAGCCAAAGGATCACCCTGGGTGCAAGGCAAGCCTCGACAGCATAGTTCCAGGACAGCGTGGATTGCAGAATAAAACACTAATCTCAGAAAATTTCTTTCTCACTTTGGTAGCATATATACTAAAAATAAGAATGACACAGAGGAGATTAGCATACCCCCTGTCCAGAGATGACATGAAATCTATCAAGTGGTACATACATTTTTCTTTTTTTTTTTTTTTTTCTGTTTTGGTTTTTCCAAGACAGAGTTTTTCTGTGTAGCCTTGGCTGTCCTGTAATTCACTCTGTAGACCAGTCTGGCCTCTAACTCACAGAGATCTGCCTATCTATGCCTCCTACGTGCTGGGATTAAAGGCGTGTGCCACCACTGTGTATGGGTCTGTTCCCTATTTTTTAACAGGGTCTTGGCAGATGCATCTGGAGGTGGGTTATTGCTCTGTAAAGACATTCAATAAAATATTTCCCAAAAAACAAAACAAGGAAACAAACAAAAAAAGGCAGTGGTGACACACTCCTTTAATCTCAGTACTCAGGAGTCAGAGGCAGGTAGATCTCTGTGAGTTGGAGGCCAGCTTGGTCTACAGAGTGAGTTCCAGGACAGCTAGAGCTGTTATACAGAGAAACCCTGTCTTGAAAAAAAAAGTCCTAAAATAGGTGGTGCTGAAATATGAATAAAATGACTTGTATGAGGTTTGGCATTTGCTTCAAAATAAAATAAAAATAGTAGAAAATGACCATGGTGTCCATGAGTAATCCCTGGAGGGTAGACAATGGGCACATGAGTGTCCACTGAAAGTATTTTATCTGATAATGAATCTGTTTGAAATTTTCCACAATTTTCAAAATTGTTTAAGTCGGTGTGACAAGTCAAAAATCTTGCCTCCTTTGGGAAAAACAATAGGGCTGGGAATAGATAGTCTAGGAAATCCCTCCTATAATAGACAACACCAGCTCTGAAAATACCCCCCCCACAGTCATATGGAGCCCAGGCTGGCCCCAAATATAGCCAAGGAGGGCCTTGAATATCTGCTCCTCCTGCTACCATCAACTGACCCCTTGCACGTACACCACCATGACCAATTTATGCACTTCAGGGGACCGAACCGAGGGCTTCGAGCAGGCCAATTAAGCACTTTACCAACAGAATCCTTTACTCAACTTCTAAAAAGAAAATAATCCCTTCGTGTTTACAGAAGCAGTGTGTGTAAGGTAGAAAATTTCTGTGTGCTAAGAAGCAGAACTAGAGCGGGCGTTGGTGGTGCACGTCTTTAATCCCAGCACTCGGAAGGCAGAGGCAGGTGGATCTCTGTGAGTTCGAGGCCAGCCTGGTCTCCAGAGCGAGTGCCAGGATAGGCTCCAAAGCTACACAGAGAAACCCTGTCTCGGAAAAAAAAAAAAGAAGTAGAATTAAAGCTATTTCCACCACCCACAAGTTACAGTTCACTGTGTATTACAGAAAACTTTCTCTGCATATATATATATATATATATATATATATATATATATATATATAAACTCAGGCCATCAGCCATGGCAGCAAGTGCCTTAACCTGAGTAACAACTCTGGTTTTAAGACAAAGTTTCATGTGGCTCAAGTTGGCCTTGAGCTTCCAACTTAGGATGGCCTTGAATTTCTGATGCTCCTGCCTCTACCTCCCCAGTGCCAGGATTACAGGAATGAACCACCACATTGGGTTACTTCCATTGCCCTGGCTTGTGGCCTGGGTTAGTTGCCTTTGAGAACATAGAATCCCTAATGAGCTTGGTTGCTTCCTCAGAACACCACCTACAGTTCACAGGAAGTGGGAGCTAGAGGATCCCAGAACTTCCTCTTCAGGCTTTGGTGTCCCTTGTGCCTGTCCCAGCAGAGAGATAGCCCCCCCTGAGTGTCCAACTTCCATGTCTCTGTGCAAGCATGGGCTTTGTCTGGGCTCATCCAGCCCACTTTGTTTTGTCAACACCCTGGGGCAATCTTTGGCTACCAAAAAATGGCTGACAGCCAGAACTCACAGAAGTCCCAGAGATGGCACTTCCACCATATCAAAAACTTTCCGCTGGCCAGATGGTGACCTTTCCTGATTGTGTTTAGCATTCCTTCCTTAAAGTTCAGGGATGGGTGGGACGGAACAAGGACATGTACACATTCCAGAAGAACCAGAGGGAAATTTTTAAATATATGCATTATTTATTTCATGGCCCCCTTCCTATCTGGATTTACTTGGCTTGTCTAGTAACTTAAAAGATATCTTTGCATTTGGGTCATAAACTGCCGTGGTTGGTCTACTTAAATACATAAAAGTTAAAAAAAAAAAACAGTTGGGAAACACTCCCTCTTCCCCCTTCTCTACATTTTTAAGGTTGGGCTGGGTAAGCAAAAAGATCTGGAGGAAAAACCATCCATCTTCTCCCACCGTTTTCTTTTTTGAGACAGACTCTCAGCTATTCCAGACTGACTGCCAACTCACTATGTAGCCAAGGATGGTCTTGAACTTGAAATCCTACTCCTTCAACCTCCCAAGTACTGGAATACAAGTGTCTGCCATCATATCTGGATTCCTTTTCTTACACTCTCCCTCCTTGGGTAATATTGTATTTTCTTTGAAACAAGGTCTCAGGTAGCCCAGGCTCATCTCTAACTTGCTATGTAGCCAAGGTTACCTTAGTCCTGATCCTCCTGCCTTCCCGTCTTCACCTCCCTCATGCTGAGTTACAGATGTGCACCTGGGCCACACCTGGGCTCCCTTGCTTCCTTTGTAGCTAAGTGAATCAAGAAAGCTCTGAATGGAGCCTTATTTTTTATTTTGATATTTATTTACCAGGCAGTGGTGGGGCACACCTTTAATCCCTGCATTTGGGAGCCAGAGATGGGCAGATCTCAGTGAGTTCAAGGCCAACCTCTTTCAACAAAGTTAGTTTCAGGACAGCCAGGACAGTTACACAGAGAAACCACACCCACACCCACACCCACACCCACACCCACACCCACACACACACACACACACACACACACACACACCCCACACACAAAGATTTAGATGCCAGGCAGTGATGGCACACGCCTTTAATCCCAGCACTTGGGAGGCAGAGGTAGGCAGATCTCTGTGAGTTCGAGGCCAGCCTGGTCTCCAGAGCGAGGGCCAGGACAGCCAGGGCTGTTACACAGAAAAACCCTGTCTCGAGAGAAAAAAAAAGGAAAGATTTTCTCATGTGCATATGTGTACGTGTGTCTATGGATGGCAAAGAAGGGTGTGTATCCCTGGAGCTGTAGTTACAAGTAGTTATGAGCCACTGAACATGGGTGCTGAACCAAACTGAGGACCTCTGGAAGAGCAGCAAGTGTTCTTAATCACCAAAGCATCTCTCCAGCCCCTGGAATCTTTTATATACAACACATTTACTTGGAGGCAGAAAGGACCCCACAGCAACAAAACACAACTGGGGCCCATGACAAGTTAGCTCCTGGAATCCTGGGGTAGGGATGGTCCACTCCCTACCTATGTCCACTGGCTTCCCTCCCAGCCTGCTGTTATGAAAGAGACACAGCAATAAGGGAAGGATTTCCTTTCTTTGATTCTGCCTAAGAGGGGGTCTTCTGATGGAGAAGGGCCAGTGGCCCTGCCTACCAACACACCCTGTCTCCTTTTAAATTTAATTTTTCTAAACTTTTATTTTATGTATATGTGTGTTTTGTATGTCTGTGCACCACTTGTGTGCCTGGTGCCCGTGGAAGCCAGTAGAGGGCATCAGATCCCCTAGAACTGGAGTAACAGACTGTTGTGAGCTGCCTTGTGGGTGGTGGGGATCAAACCTAGGTCCTGTGGAAGAGGAACTGGACCTCTTAACCACTGAGCTATCTCTTTAGTCCCTGCCCAGTTTTTTTATTTTAAAGATTTTATTTATTTATTATGCATACAACATTCTGCTTCCATATATATCTGCACACCAGAAGAGGGCACCAGATCTCATAACGGATGGTTGTGAGCCACCATGTGGTTGCTGGGAATTGAACTCAGGACCTCTGGAAGAGCAGTCAGTGCTCTTAACCTCTGAGCCATCTCTCCAGCCCCCCTGCCCAGTTTTTAAAAACAGGTTCTCACTATATATCCCTGACTGACTTGAAGCTTGGTATGTAGATCAGTCTGGCCTAGAACTCACAGATGAGCCTGCTTCTGCCTCCTGAGTGACGGGGTTGAAGGTGTTCACCACACCTGGTTTATATATTTTTTCTTCCCTCTTTCTTATTCATTTCTACTTTTTAATTGTGTGTATTTGCTCTGGGAGCCTTGGCATGTGCATGGGAGTTCAGGTGCTTGTAGAGGCCAAAAGAGAATGTCAGCTTCTCTGGAGCTGGAGTTGCAGGCGTTTGTGAGCTGCCTGATGTGAGGACTGGGAATTGTGTAGTCTGCAAGAATAGCAAGTGCTCTTAACCCCTGAGCTATCTCATAAGCTCAAACACCATTCCAGCTTTATGGAGTCGAGGAGAAAGGAGTACAGGAGTCTAGCATGAAGGCCAACCTTTGCTACTGGAAGTGAGGAACATAAAATCATTAGATGGGGTTCAGTGGAGAAGGAGGCAAGAAGTAGCAGCTGTTGAAAGACCCCTGCCCCTTAGCCCTTTCTTTCTCAAGTTTGTCTCCTC